TATATATATATATATAGTGTGTGTGTGTGTGTGTGTGCGCGCGCGCGCGCGCGCGTGTAAAATATATATAAATAAGCAAAATTTCAATTTAAATAGTGAAACGCAATTTCCAAATACCTCAATGGAAACAAGAATGAAAGAAGAAACAAAATAAAAGGAAAAACATGTTGCGTGTTGGAAATGTCAGAAGGTCAGGCTTGGACACTTAAGATTGTGCGTGCTAGACGAAGAAGATGATTCGTCCGCTTCGTAATTTACGTCGCGACATAAAAGCGACGTATGATATAATTACCAATCTTCTTAAAAAATTGGAGCATCGTTCGTGTCAGCGCGTAGCATGATAAAGGTCGCCGATGACGCGAGGGTCGTCGAAAGGTAAACAACAGATGATGCTTTATGAGTGCGGCAGGAGCGCATCCCACGGAGCGCGTGAATAGCACCGCTCCAAAAGTGTCAAGCTGTGCCGCGCGATCGGGATCGCGGTTCGGGCGACGGCGACGGCGACGGCGACGTTCCACACCCGGGGCTAGGCGCGCACGCGGCGGCGCGCGACATTTCGCCTCGGCATCATTACTAGGCGTGCGAGATGACAGATTACTGTTGTTTGCATCCTCGCCGATTACAACAAACACTCGCGCAAAGTGTAAGCAGGTGCAGCAATACGAGAATCCGCCTACACTTCCTTCTTCAACCCCCGCGAGACATGTTCTTTGTATCTATACCATCCATATTATGTCATATTCTGTCACTTCTCTGCACTTGGAATGAAATGGATAAATAATTGAAGGAAAGGAGAAAAAGGAGGAATGAACTGTATGAAAAATTTAACTATGAAGAATGAAATTAAATGTATTTGTGACGTGCATTTTCGCGCTCCAACGGTGCGAATATAGGCGAGGGGTAAAGGGAAAGTGTGGAAAGTGCACTTATAGCGAGAGGAACTATTGGCACTTACATGCGCGCGTTTTTCGAATGCTTCGGAAGATTGCCGGAATTTTATATTTAATTGTGTAAAATCTTATATATTTCTTTTAATTATTTCATGTACTTGATGCACTTTTTTCTTCTTGTGAAATTTATCACGCATTAAAATATGACTGCTTGTGAAAAGGAGATAAACAGATTGCGCGTTATTAAAGAATAATTCTTAAACTGTAATTCTATTTCTTGAAATACTTTTACACTTCTATTTGTATTTGACAATTTTATTTGTAACATTTATATCTGATGTTTTCGAAAAAATAAAATAACTAATTATTGCGGATGTCTCTGTTTGGCTAATTTATTATATACTCTATATAATACATATTCGTGAAATTCAAACTTTCAGTTTCAACTATTATGCCTATTTCTATTAATATATATTAATTCTAATCTCACTTCAATTTCTCTTCATTTTTTTTAGCTTTAAAAATTAGAACATTGGTGAAAACGAGTATTAGAATTTTTAATAAATTTAGAAGACAGGTCTAATTAAAATTGAAATCTGGATTAGCACCAGAGATTTTCTGTATCGTTCCTCGGATATTCCTTCACCGAACCACAGTCTACATCTCATAACAAGATAATATACCCGAGCAGACAAGTCATGATAACATCAAAATGACATTAAAATGAATAGTTATTAATTGTAAAGTAATTTTTTAATAATTTTCCAATAATCAATTTAGAGTCGTTTTGATGTTAGGATGACTTATATGTTCTGCTTGAATATTTGAAAGACATATTTTCCTTGAGAACAACGAATTACAAAACGTTTCATACGTTGCAATTTTTTCAAGAGCATTTTGTTCCCTCTTGCAGACCTCTTTACTCTATTTATATATGTCTAGGAAGCATTCTCTCTCTCTCTCTCTTTCTCTCTCTCGAATGAGTGAATCTCTCGAACAGGAGCCAAGTGGACGGTACCGTCCCGCCTATCCGGATTCTCTCGAGATCGTTACGGGCACGTGCAAACACTTCTGATGACCGAAGTACGAAAGCGTATACTAAAATATATGTGAGCGACGATCCGATTGCGTGTACACACGCGATGTTATACGCGTTCCGAAGGCCGGCTGTCAAGGTAGACCGCGTAGCGGCAAGAGGGCAATGGCCGGGCATCGTACTCGCTGTACGAACGCCGGGAGGTGACAGAGAGACGCAGGAATACGAGACGAGGTGTCCATCGGGCGGTGTGTATACCGGTTTTGTATGTACGTGCGAACGCAGGACTAAATCGTGTCCCGAGAACGAACCGGCTGTCTCGTCAGCGGGTTCCTGCCGGAGGCGGTGAGGCGCATCAGGTCGGAGCCCCCAGGACGTTCGCTACCATCCATTTTTCAGTCCTCTTCCCGTCAGGATCGATCACAGACGATCATGCTCGCCCTACACGGCTTTCTCGTTATTGCGGCCTGTCTCGTCACCGTCGCGATTCCTCCTGCGCTGGCCAAAGCGGTCTACGATCAGCGACAGACCGGCGATGTGAACGTGCAGATTGACCTGAAGGACCTGCAGGTGATTGCGCTGGTCAATTCCGAGCTCCTGGACGATTATACGGTAAATCCTTTCCTCTTTTTTAGTCTTTTTCTCTCTTTATTAACTGGGTTTACTGGGACGTATTTTTTTATTTTTCTCTCTCTGTTTTTTCCTGTTTCTCCTTTTCTCAATTATTTTATATTTCTTTCTTTTTGAGGAAACATAAAAATTAAATTTTACTATAATATATTTTTTAATTTAATTGCGTTTACCGTTAATGAAATAGTCGAAGCTTTTCTTCAGTTTGTAACTGCATTAGTTCTATATATATATGATGAATTTGATGCGAGCCTGCAATTTATAAAGTCTATTTTAGACATTTTGTACTCAGAATGCATTTTACAAGTTATATTTCATTTAATAATAAATAGATTGCTTTGAGTACCACTGAAAAATCATCGTCGACATCATCCTTGCTTTCGCAGGATTACGATTACTTGTACGATTACGCCGACTTTACCATCAAGCCACCGGGAAACAGGCCTATCGTGAGCTCCACAACGGAGAAAAATGATGTCACGCAAATTTTCGAATCGCTGCCGTCACAAAATTCAACCGTCTCGACGTCTGTTAATAATACAAGCCCGACCACGAGCGACATAACGCTATCCGAAGGAGCCCCAAATGCTAATCCATCGAATGGTACCGAGAACGACAAGACGCCGTCCAAAGACGAAGAGATCCCGAACGCTGATCCGTTGATTGGTATCACGAGCTTGACGCCGAATGCGGATAACGATGACAATAAGAGTCAACCGGGCGAAAAGGAAGCTGGAACCAGAACAACTCCTTCGACCACGGTGAAATCCGCGCACGCCGTGCGGTCGCAAAAGCGCTGCAAATTTGGATATGTTCCGAACGGCAACGGTCGCTGTCGATCGTGGTTGAATCGCTTGTTGCCATGAGTACAACCGCGTGAGTATGACCGGATGCCTCACTCTGATCGATCGGTCCTCCCTCGATCGACCGGATTCAGATGGCAAAAGTTAGAGGAGTAAATTTGGAAACGAGTGTCCTTTGAAGGTGTGCCATATATGCATCGAATTTACGCCATGTTTGCCTTCACATGGTGAAACAATCCCACGTTTTGCACTTTTCTAATACGATAATTATCTCCGAGTACTTGACGCGCTTCCTTATTTTTTTTCACAGTTCCGGACAAAAGAATTTTCCTAAAAGAGGTAATATATGATTAAAAGTATACAGGAAGAAACGCAAGCACAGGCATATTCTTAGATGTATTTTTTTTAGCTGAACTTCTTACACGATTCATCTTCTCTTTTTTTTCTCTAACGTAGAAAGAAAAGAACTTCAGCTAAAAAGAACCTCTCTTATCTTGTGCAAGTATTGTGTTTATGTATTTTTTCCTCCCTTCATTTTGACTCTTGATTCTTCTTATCATCAGCTCGAGGTTTCTGCTTGAACGTTTGTTTTTAACTCATAATTAGCTGCGTCGTTGAAATCCGCGATGGTCCATAACGATATCGGTGTACAAGCGATCGATATCGTTCCCACGCCAATCGACGTTGTGGCGATGTGTCCTATAAGTAATCCTATGGCGAGATGGATCCCCCTATCATCATACAGATTCCGCGTACCGGTTCGTACAACGGTCTCACCGAGTGCGGCGGGCTCGCTACTCGCGCGGTCGTCGCAGTTGAGGAAAGGACCTCGCTCGTTTCGCTCGCGTTGCCCGAAGAGTATTGTATTGCGAGGTCGAACTTCGTTGCATCTCTCATCTCGCTCACCTACACGCATCACAACGTAGCGTGTGCGATCGACGTGTATACATCAGGAGGATGGCGATGGTCCAGATGCTATTTTTCTTCGGTACGGCGTTCTTCGCGTTCGCCAAGGTTGACGCTGCTCCGGCGAAATACGATCAACGGCAGGATGGCGAGATTAACGGGCACGGTACGATAAAGAACCTCCTCTTCGTTATGCTCTTCCCTGGTAGTAGCGGTAGTACCAGTGCTAACGACATAAGCGAGCTAGCATGGCATGCTATCCAGGCAGCGGTAAACGCTCGATCGAAAGGACAAGGAGCGATCAAATCCAGTGAGGAAGTTCGCCAAGAAGAGCTCTATTCTGCGGAAATTCAGATAAATGAGAATTATCTAGATAAAGAAAATTCGGTACAAAAAGTGGAAGGAGATACGAAAACGTTGAATGTCTTGAATCAACAACTGGCACCAGTTGGTGATGGGCAAACTGAAAAAAATGACAGAATCGCGAGAAATGTGAAAAATTTCGACTTTCCGAAGAGCCGCGAGGTGCCGGTTCTTCCGGGATACTTCGTGAACGTGAGGAAGACGTCCAGACCTAAGACGGGAGGCAGTGGCCGAGCTCGGAGCGTGGTTGGGAACGTGGTTTGGAATTCTGACGATGAACCTGGAAGACCATCGTTAAAGAAGCAGCTACCTGGGGAAGAGGACGTTGCATTATCTTCTTCGAACGCTGAGAAAAACGACGTGTCTCCGCTGGCCGAGGAGAAGCAGCAGGAACTCAAACTGCTGGGCGACGGTGTCGAGAACTGCGGTCCAGGAAGACATCGCGACGCGTCCGGCGTCTGCCAGTTCAACGAATCAGCCGATTCTCTTTAGCTTTAAGTTCCCATGGCTGTAGATCTTAAACATCAAAATGTATTAGTTATTATCGTGCGATTACTTCTCATACGATATTTTATTTTTTATTTAGCATGAATTTTATATCAGATTTATTACATCTGCTGATAGAAAGCTTTTTTTTTGCTTATTAGCGCAAGAATCATCCCACATAAAATGAGAAGAGCAACAAATTATTTAATTAATTTAGCACGTAAAATGCGTTGAATGCGAGATAATTATCGTTTTATATAAAGTATACATGTGCGAAGATTTACTGCATGTATCTATTAAGCTATTCGATCAATAAAATACTTAAACAACAATAATAATGTGAATATGTATTTCAATATAAAGGGAAAATCACGAAAGAAATTGCAATGGCAAATCTAATTTTCTTTAATTCAAATTTAATTTTCATTTCCTTTTCTAAATCAATAAGCTCTTAGAGATCAGAAAATATATAAAGATCGTTGGTATCATTTTTTCGTTCGTTTAATACTTCCTCCTTTTCTTATTCTTTCTTTGTCGCCGCAGTATATAAATAGCGCCTATCGGGAATAAGATTCTTACCGTTGGGAATTCTTAAAAGCTGATTCCAAAATTCTGATCTTGCATTCTCGGGGACGGAGAATCACATAAGGTACGTCGACCCTCCGGGGAATTTCCAGAAATCGAAGGTCGTTCCCCAAAGACCGGCGGCGATCCTGCGACAGCGTTGATTCGGTTCCCAAGGCGGAAGCGTAAGCGAGAGAAAAGAGCAAGGGCAAGGTTACGGTAATAGGCGCCAAGCCGCGAGACGGGCAGATCGGGGAAACGAACTCACCGCGAACGGCCACGATAGGACATTGCCCTTTACAGAGATTGGTGACTATAGATGTGCACACACCTACGTACACGTGTATGGATACACCTGCGCACCGCGTGTGATAACTATTACGCTCTGTCTTTAACATCATCGCGTATCTCTCCGTCTCTTGCTCCTCCTTTTCCTTTGAACAAAACTGGTTATCGCCGCGAGGGACATCGACGCGCGATTAATACGTCGCTGATGAGGATGACCAGCTTCAGTAATTCCACCACGCCTCCATCGTTGAATATCGTTAATGCTATTAATACCATTTACGTTCCTCTCTCCTGATGGCGATTTCGCAATCCGAATGTAATAAGGATGACGTTCGAGGAACATCACGAGAATCATTTCCAATATCGCGCATCTCCTCTTAACTGGAGACCAAATAGAGAAAAATACAATTAGCCCAAGATAAAAAATTCTTGAATTATGAATGACTGAAAATAAAAAATGACAAGAACTTGTTTATCTTATAAGTAAATCTTTCGTCAATCTTAATTAAAAATTTTGTATAGTAAAAATTCAATCTCAGAACTGAGAAATTATGAAGGAACAGGAAAACATGTAATTAAGTAAAAATATACCTTCTTGATAACGTCAACTTTATGAAAGTTGGCCCGGAAAATTGCGGATAGGGAAAGTATATAGTTCAGATTTAAACATGAGTGAATCTCTCTTTCAATCTTCGCATAAATTACAAAAGTTTTACAGTGTAT